GCTTTTCTTATTGACCAGGGGGTGGGGCACCTGTTAAGGGGCAGGGCTACCCATGCAGCCCTCAACAGCTTGCCAAAACTGGGTAAGCATCCCTCCGCCCAAAATAATTGTCCGCCCTTGGCTTATGCTACACATCTCTGAAGTAATTAGCCTAAAAAAGGGTACAATTTTACCCTGCCTTCTGTCAAAGCTCTTGGAACACTGGAAGAAAGACGACGAACAGGGAGCTTTTTGATTCTGTACACTGGAGGTGCATCTTCAAGAATTCTACAAGCATCTATACCATAGCTTTTGAACATGATGGTTTCAGGCTTGGAAAGAGCAGGAAGACAATTTCCCAGAAAATTTAGAACAAAGAGTTCACTTTTGGAAAGAAAACTCCAGAATCCTTAGTACCAGATTATTATGAAACATGATGCAGTTTTCCCATGGACAGAACCACCAACACCGAGATGCACTTATCAGATGCTATGTGACTGACACAAATTTTAAAGGATAGACATACTTGTGCGAGCAATGGCAGTGGCTCAAAAGCATGGGTCGGTCAGGGTATTTGGTCTCTATGAAATGGTAGTCTGACCACACATCTGTAGTCTACTCTGCTTGCAACTCGAGTACTTTGGGCCTGAGCCTCCAAAGACTGCATGTGAAGATGCTATTCATAACTGATCAAGTGGACTTTGGTGCTAGGCCCAGATATGTGCTTCCCCAAAGCAGCACACTGACTGCTTTGCATTCTTACAAACAGGTAAGCTGTATTGCTGGGAGTCCATATGTCTGGGAAATCAAGCTGACGTTCTGTTGATCTGCTTATCATTCTGAGTCACTGGCTGAAGGTCTGCTGAGCCACTGGGCAGTTCCCATTTAAGTACATTGCTATTGTCAAAGACAGAACTACTGAAAAGAGGCAGAAAAGATCATTGGTATTCCCTTGCAGTCAAAGATGATTGTCTGTCATGATGGTCTTATCTATGGCTCTAAAGATGGCTAACAAGGCCTATCTGGGATCAAAAGGCACTGCTGCAGCTCAGACACAGGTTTCAGTGTGGGGTGGGTGGCTCCAGGTTCTTGGAGATAAAAACTTAATACTTAAAATGGAGGACTGATCTCCGAGTTCCCGTGAATAGTTGAGATAGGCCACGACAGTATTGTTTTCTGATCCAGTCTAACCAATGCTGCCCCTGAGGAGCACCTCCATTTTAAGGGATTTACCACTCAGAGCTCTAAGACAGACTTAAGCTCTGGTCCTCTTCTACAAAGTTTTAAGTTCCATGCACTGTGCTATATAGTTTCTGACAACTACTAAACAGATGATAATCCCATCCACGAAAGGGCATGGGACTAAGGGTCCTCCTGGATCACTTGACTACAGGCCCCTGCTATCAAAGGAAACAAAGAGAAAGGGGGATTATAATTTGAATTAAAAAGGAAAGGTGAAAAGAGCAGATCAGGAGCAAAACTAGCAATGAGTTGGATAAGGTGGTGGCCAAAATAGGTCACCATGCTGAATGGCCCGTAGAACTGTAGAGAGGAAGTGAACAAGCTTTTATGTGGGGGATACTGGACTGTGAAATTGAAGAAACTAGGACTGCAGTTGAGAATCTAAGATTCAGTTCCTTTCCAGCTATCAAGAAATTAGTTAACCTATCTTCACATCAAGCCTCCTACTGATAATTTCTTCTTCGTCTAAAGGCTTTTCTTCTTTTGCATAATCAAGATGACAAAAAATCCTTAACCTGATTATCACCAAAAACATTTTAAAAAACCAACCAAAAATTCAAATACTTTAAACTAATGGTAAGCAATAAATGGAATAAGAGTCTTTTAAGCATTTGCACAAATCATATACTTCTCTCAGTGGAAAAAATACAGCCTCAAGGCTGTCCAACTGGTGGCCCCCAGGCTGCATCCAGCCCACAAGAGGTTAATACGAAGTCTGTCACTTCCCTCTTTGCTCCTGCTCTTGCAACAGCTGGGGTCCCTGGGGCAAAGCAACACAGTAGGATGGGGCCCAACAAGATTGCCTGCATGGCAGTATCAGTGGGGGGGAAGTCACGTGGCACAGGGGAGGATTCATGTTACAGCAGCAGAATGGAGGCTAGGGCAACTCGCATAGCAATGACCTGGGTGGGAGAGAGTTGGTGTAGGGAAGGGGACTTGTACTGCCCAAGTGGGGACATGGTGACAAGGCTTGTCATGCCTGCATAGCAAGGGAGGTGCATGTGGTAGGGGGACCCAGTAAGTCTATTAACTGTGTGGCCCCCGTGGCATGTAACCTACATGGTAACCAGCCATGGCCTGCAACTGATGCAGCACATGGTCCCCAGCTGTGAAGTTGGATAGCCCTGACCTATACCACAAGATGTGCCAGCCAAGGTTTTTTTTTTTTTTTTAAATTGGAACATTGATTAGAGACATCCTGGTTGGATAAATCTTCAGAGAGCTCTCACAAGCATGTCTTTTTATGATTTCCACAGCTAAAAAGGGAAGATGTAGAAAAGGTATATACAATTATTAAAACAAACAAAGAATAAACAAAGTAATTGTTCTGATTTTTAACATGCCTTAATCTTGTAGACTAGCACAAGTATTCCATACAGCCCTTCATTTCCACAGCTTGTTTTTAAGGTGTGGCATCCATAGAGCAAACTAAAGTTTACTATTTGTAGCTACATTTCTTCTTCTATAATAAACTGCAGCAAAATTTCTTCTGTAAATTTGAAGAGTTTAAGAGAGTGGCTAAGTGTTTACTCCAACTTATCTTGGCTCCTTTCCCTCTACAGATACAATATATTTATTATACACTTGGCAGAAAAATCTAAAATATGACTGACGTATCAGTAAATCCAGACACACAAACCAGGAGTTGCACTTAACAAAACACTAATCAAAGCAGCCTGGCAACTTTGGCTACATTTTAAGAATGTGGAATCCTGGAAATTCAATTTTAGTGCCATATCTATTTAATATATGAAAGAAGATGGCCTATAACTCTCGATGTACAGTTATATTTGCTTTTAAAAAGCTACAAAAAAGCAAATTTTTCATTAGAACTTGCAAAATATTAAGTATTAACTATATGTATAAGCGTTCCTATGAAATCTTTTTGCTAATACACTTTTGGTTCACTAACACAAGCATAAGCTGTACTGTGACTACCACTACTTACATCATCTTCTGGGAATCTCTTCAGTGAATTAGGAAGTTTGAATATATTAAAAAGGAATAAATCATGAATATTCGTTACATCCTACTGGTTTATTAATGCACCTCACAGCTTGGTTGGTGAGGAAATGCAATACTACATAAATTTTTGCTAATTCAAACTGCATTCTGGCTGTGCAAATCCATTAACAGGAACTGCTACATGATCAGTCTAGAATTGGAAAAGAAGCCTAATATAAATAGAGTCAAGGAAAAAGCATACACTAAAATGATGAACTCTTCATAAAAGTGTTCACAGAGGACAAGTGGCATATTTAAAGAATATTTCACCTAGACCTAATGAAATCATCATCTCTTTCAAAGCAGAAAAATAAATCTATATTTCCCAAAAATTATATCAGTTGCTAAGCATGTACATAAAGATCTATATGATCTAAACCCTATTATCTCTCTTGTAGTAAATACTTAATTTTCCTTTTATTGTTAGGTAAAATGATTAATGGAAGTAATAATGTTGTTTCTGGTTGAATCTCTGGTTCATAACTGGAATTAACTCTATGCAATAAGTATGTGTAATATTAATGTGGCTGTTCAAAAAAAAAGTTTATCTATCCAAATTCAACAAATGATAAACAGGCAGTGCTATGCTACTCCAAAATCCAGGCAAGTTTCATAGAATAATCATCTAGTTACATTTTTCAAATGTTATTTAAAAGATTTTTGTGAGGGACAAGGTTGATGAATGTCAAATGCTTCAACCATGAAAAAAAAGACCTTTTGTGCAATTTTAGTTTTCCAGATTTTATAAAATATTAACAAAATGTTTTGTTTGCACCAATTGGTTAATCCATGAGTTCTCTCACACAGCCACACACATTCAGAGCTTTTATCAATAAATCTCAGCTTCAGTGTTCATTTTATGACATCTATTTTAACAGAAAAAATTTAGTCACTTGTAGTATGTGTATAATGTACATACATGTATACATGTCTTTGCACATGAATGTCTACATAAAACAAGGTCCTTTCCAGTTTCCTATTCTGCAATAACACTGCAGTCGTGAATTAAATACTGCCTTCTAAAGTTCTTTTATATGTGCTTGCTATGTCAGGATTGATACAAAAGCATACCAGAATTTAAGTAAGTATTTATTACCTCCAACCTTTGGCCCACCAGCTGAGCCTGGTTTTCTTGCACTGTTTGTAGGATTTCCAGGCTTCTTAGGTGCAGGAACCTTGAAGGCTGAAGCAGCTGACGATGGCCTATTTCCATCCACTGACTCTTCATCATCAAAGCTTTTATCTAAAAACAATACAATGGGAAAAGATGTACTTATTACAAGATATTTGAGGGAGGGGCTTTTTTTAATTGTTCTACTACACTTTTCAAATAAATTTACTACAAGATAAAAGAAGAACTAATGGTAATTATTTGGTCCTTTGTCTAGGGCCTTGCAGTAGGATGACAATTAAAAAAATGCTAGATATAAAATCTTGTGTTAAGTGTTAGCTTCAGCTTTGCAATTCATCATAGTAAAACTGAACATTCAAAAAAAATGTTGCATGTTCAATGCAACAAAAGGGAAAATATCTATACACATTAAATATTTCTTCCTCTGCTCTAGATCATTTTTTTCCACAAATGAAGCCCTTGATACAATTTTCAGTCATTCCAGGCAATCAAAGAAAAATGCTTCTCCCTTTTCTTCTACTCATGCATGCATTTTCTGCTACATATCCTCCCACAATGTGTCTACCAACACTCCCTGCCTCATTCCTTCCACCCAGATTTTGCAACTTACAATCACAGATCCGCTTGCAGATCAGCCGCCTCATTCCTCCGATAGCTCTCAATTCCCCTCACATCAGGATGCTCCCAATACCTCACATGGCCACATACAGGAGATTCTCAATACTAATTAAAAATTCTATCAAAACCTGACTGAAAACACCATAGATCCACCACTGAGATTTGTGCCGGCATCCTTCTCTTCCCTGCACTAGGTGCTGAAACAGCCAATCAGCTTCAAGGTGACATCATCTTCTGATAGCCACTGCCAGATGAAAAGGTGGAAATTCTTCACGCATATAAATTCATTCCCACACTCAATATCTGCATCCACAATTTCAATCCTTCATTTAAAATTTCACTGGAAAAATAGGGCTTTCGGCTCCCTTTTTCTCTCATTTTATTTAGTCAAATAAAAACAAATCAAACAGGAAAAGAAGTGCCCTTATCTCCAAGCTATTAATTAAAATATCCTCAAAAAATGAATATTCTGCACTTGGTTTTTAAATTGATAGGATTCCAAAAACAGAATGTGACTATTTAGCAAATCATCAGTATAAAAAGGTGAATCTCTTTAGTAGCCTAAGTATTAGACAACCAATCTACGGTTCATACAATAAACAAGATGGGTGAGGCTGACAGCTGCATTACAGTGATATAGATCAATTTAGCACATTTTCCTTCACTGGAACCTGCCCTTTTAAAAAAAATACAAAACACAACACTATCCCAGGAATTCTGGCTACTTGCTTAACCCTGGACTTATGAAAAAATTGCTCCCAATGAAAGACTGCCTATTTTTGACAAGATAACCTCCTAAAGGGAAACGGCAACCACTAACTATTGTGTTAAAGCAAACACATTTTCCCAAATTGTAAATAGAGGAACATCAGCTGCTTAAAAAAGAAACGAAAACATTTTGGTTCACTTCAATTTCCTAATGGAGGACTTGAGAAATATTTTTGTTTAATCAACACTGCATAACGTGATTAGAAAGCTGTTTGCCTTACAGTAAAACCTCAACTGAAAAAAAATCATATCTGACATTTCTCTTCAATGTGCTTATTTCCTTGAAACCACCATTTTAAAGGGAATGTTACCAAGAATATTTGTATGTGTGGATCCGTAAACTCTAAAAACGCAGAGGGAAGGCACTGAAAAAACACACTATTACATGAGTTTCCATGGAGACAGTAGTCTGTCCTCACACTGGAGCTGTGAGAATACATTTCAGTTCTCAACAAGTTAACTCTTAATGTCTTATAGATGTAATCAGATATCTGCGTTTTTTTAAATGGTGAAATCCATTAAACACAAGATTAAGTTTAATAAGCTTATTTTTGCACAAAAGATATCAATCAGTAGCAGTGGTTAACACCCAGAACTCTGCCTCACTGAAACGTTACAGGTTATTTTAACATAATATGAGGAGAGGCTGCAGATGAAGATGGTTTTTCATCTTTTTTTTTAAATAAAAAGGATTAGATTAAAAACCTAAGATATCTTCAACTACTGCATAAGAAATAGCTGGACTATTAAAACATATCTAATTTAGTTTTCACTATTAGCACACACTTTTCACTTTTTTCAGCTTTGACAAACAGACTAGACTTCGCACTGTTATCCAGTAGCACATTACTACAGCTTTGGAGTTGCAAGTATTATATAAGAAGCCTATTCTTATTGAAAATAAAACAGTTTCTATTTCTACTACAATTATAAGGTAATAGTAAGATTTCTTTCAGAATGTTAAACAGAGTTCTTATTTTTTTTAAATGGGATTGGGAATGCCAATGATTCCCAAAATGACTGGGAAACTAATCAATCCTTCAGATGAACTTTAAGCACCAATTAAACTAGTCAATCTTAAAAGGGGGTTAAGCAGGTATGCACATTCTGCTGTGTTAAAAGCAGTCAGCATAGTGCAGTTATTTTGTTATCTAGTTGCTTAAGACTATAGCCACGCACAGAGCTGCAGCCTTCATAAATTTCACAGACATTAGGGCTGGAAGGGACTTCGGAAGATCATTGAGTCCAGCCCCCCACCCGAAGGCAGGAAGTCAGCTGGGGTCATAGGATCCCAGCAAGATAAACATCCAATTTTCATGATATTTTTTAATTACTTCAATTAATTTGGATCTTCTCTCTCTCAGAATTAATCATTCCTATTGTTTAAAAAAGATGTAGCACAATATATTTAAACATCCCTGGACAGCATAAACACTACAATTTGACTGTGTGTTTTGGGGGAGAAGTGTTTTGGGGTTTTTTTGTTCGTTTGTTCTTGGTTTAAAGTCAACAAAGCATTTCATATTAGAAATCCAGGCTACAAAAGTTTCATATAAATAGACATTCTACACTCAGTGATATGCATCCTCTTGTTTCTTTCAGCATTATTGATTTTATTCCAAAACTACATTAAACTGAAGGCATTTCAAAAGAATGGTCAGCTTTCCACTAAATGTCAATCCAAATCAGTGTACAGCAAGCCAAATATATAAATGTAACAGCTGATTTTGAAATCTTAAATGTAATGCCCATTTGTTATAAGAATCGACACTTTCTTTCCTGCTTTTTGTGCTTTCTTGTTTTTACTTCCCCAGGCTTAACAACAGAGCTTCAATTGATCTTCAGGGACATTCCAATTCCAGAAGGATGCACAATAGCATCTCCATGCATCTGAAGCATCAAACCTAGGCTTACAAAACTAAAATAAACTATAATTTGAGCAATATTTTTACTTCCAGTACCATGCAAAATCCACTTCTTTTCATATCAATATCAATGAGCATTTATATGAATATCTCAGTATGGATACAAATGTACCTCTACATATCGGAGTGTAGAACTCCAAATTTAGGCATAATTAGTATTCTGTAAAAAAGGTGCAGTTCCATTATGACCAACTGAATTGAGCCTGTTTACTACTCCAGATTTTAGTAATCTCCAATTCTGTGTATAGCTGATGCTCTGCATTTGGTCAGGTTGACCTTAATGATGGCAGAATCATGTCTATGTATGCTGTTTATAAATTAGTTTTTTTTATTTCCCACTTTTAAATTTACTCCAAAACATTTCTTTACATAGAAAACCTTTCAATGGTAGGGGAAAAGTTGGAAGTTATTTGTTTTAAATTAAATTGTTTGAAATTTACCTCAAAAAATACAACCTTTTCACTCCTAGATGAACCGGCAACACAACTTTTATTCTTAGACTAACTGACCACACAAGTTTCACACATCAGATTTCACACACACAAAATTCAATTTGGAAATGTTCTCTCAGTTCCACAGAAAATTACAAATTGCTGGAAAAAACTACATAAAACAGATCCAGTTTTAATTACAGCCTAATCCAAACTTAATGTATTTAAATTATAATTAAGTTTTCCTTTTAAAAAAAACAAACTGGCTTAAAATGAAATTTGAATTTAATACAGCATAAAGTAAAGTATAAATTTAGTATAATCTATTAAAATAATTTAAATAAAATAAATAGAGTCAATGAGAGTCTACTAAAAACTCTGGAGTTAAAGGCTGATTTTCTTTTATATAAAAACAAGGGGGAAAACATCTAACTTTTGAGGTTAAGCTTAAAAATATGGCACTATTACATGCATTAGGGATGTGACCTTGCAGGGATGCAGGGTCTATACTACTGGATGCAAAGAATCAAAGACATCATAGATACTAGAACCTAATGCCGCAAACAGCATAGATGAGAAGAAACTTAGACAAGCTAATGAAGCAAACCTGAAACTTATAACATATGGGTGCAGCGCTCAGTTGATGCATCTTTTAGCCAAAGATATAAGTATTGTACAGCAGGGAAAACAGAAATGCTGACATTGCAAAAAACTTGCATAACAATCAGTTTGCTTTAGCATCAGTGAAGAGAGCTGGGGGATCCAAGCTAATTCTTCCCCAACGTAGACAACGGAATTCAATGGTTGACTGCTCTGAGCTATTTACTAAGAACTGGCTTATTCTTATGACCATCTGTGAAGAAAACTATGACAGAGTCGATGGAAGTATCATAGGTAGAGTAGTCAACACTGGACTAAAGAGAAATGCAGTAAATATGGTAAATGCACTAAAATGTATTTTCACAGCTTTGGGCAAACTAAAGAAAAATTGCTGCAGTACTGCGTATGCTGTTGAAATTTGGAACGAACTTCAAGAAATATTACAGCAAGAAATACCCAACAACAAACTTATACTCCAGGCAGTAAAGAAGCAGATGAATCAGGCTCTTACTCCATCTCATTTTCTTGCCAATACTCTTAACACAAAGAATCAGGGTAGATTCCTAATGGTCGAAGAGGAAAATACTCCTGTGATCTGGGGATCTACTAATGACCCATCAATCATGCCAACCATAAAAAATGTGTCAAGGCTACAGGTGGACCATTCAAGTGCGAAATCTTTGCTAAGGATGTTTTAAAGAGTCACACCGCTGAACTGGTGCAAGTCACTAGCAAGGCACATGCAGCTAAAGTTTACTGAAGTCCTAAA